AACGACACTTGTGTCGTGCTGTTGATATTTCCAATTTTGTGACTACTTTCGAAGGGAACGACCTCAAGGATTGGAACCCCTAAGCTAAGAAGGCTGAAAATGTTGATTGTGTGACAACTAACGGTGGAATTGATATAGAATATAAGGTATGAAACGGTGAAAACACAAGTCTTAGTCAGATTCGTTTAAAAGTACAAATAATTGGCATATCTCGAGAATTTTGTAAGCGGCGTGTTGAGCCTGCAACTTAACTGAGTTCAATTTATCGATTATTGCGGTTCTAACGGGTCACGACTCTTCAAAATCGATTTTAGTGGCATAACGATATAAAATGACACTTGTGTCATTATGTTGATTTTTTCAATATTTTATTACTTTTCAAGGCAAGGACATCAAGGATTAGACCCCCCAACCTAAGAAGGATGAAAATATTGATTGTGTGACAACTAACGGTGGAATTGATATAGAATATAAAGTATGAAACGGTGAAAACACAAGTCTTAAGAAGGACAAAAATGTTGATTGTGTGACAACAAACGATGGAATTGATATAGAATATAAGGTATATAACGGTGAAAACACAAGTCATAGTCTAAATTCGTTTGAAAGTACAAGTAATGAGCATATCTCAAGAATTTTGTAAGCGGCGTGTTGAGCCTACAACTTAAATGGGTTCAATTTATCGATTCTCGTGGTTTGGACGGGTCACGGTTCTTCAAAATCGATTTTAGTTGCAGAACGACACATGTATCGTTAAACGACACTTGTGTCGTTCTGTTGATTTTTCAAATATTTTGCTACTTTTTAAGGCAGGGGCATCGAGGATTGAACCCACCAACCTAAGAAGGACAAAAATGTTGATTGTGTGACAACTAACGGTGGAATTGATATAGAATATAATGTATAAAACGGTGAAAACACAAGTCTTAGTCTAGATTCGTTTTAAAGTACAAGTAATGAGCATATCTCAAGAATTTTGTAAGCAGCGTGTTGAGCCTACAACTTAAATGGGTTCAGTTTATCGATTATCGTGGCTCGGACGAGTTGTAAAGCTCTGTACTGGTGTTTCCAGGTAGAACGACACTTGTGCCGTTACACGACAGTTGTGTCGTTCTATTGATTTCATCAATATTTTTCAACTTTTCCAGTTGAACGACCTCGAGAATTGGACCCTATAACTTGGGAAGGCTGGACGTGTTGATTATGTGATAATTAACGGTGATTCACGAGTTTCCTTTCAGAATGACACAAGTGTAATTTTCTAGACAGTAACGGCACTAGTGCCGTTCTCATTGAATTTCATGCACACATCATAATGACAACTGTGTCGTTCTGATATCAGTAACGGCACAAGTGTCATTTTCTACATAATTTTCATCAATTTACTTTTCTTTTCATAACTCAATGTTTCATCAAGTGTCTTTCTCATTATCGTTATATTTGTACAAGTAAATGTTATCTTCCCAGACAGAATGACACAAATGTCGTTTTCTGGACAGTAATGACACTAGTGTCGTTCTCATTGAAATTCATTCACACAGCATAACGACACTTGTGCCATTCTGATATCAGTAACGTCACAAGTGTCGTTTATACTTTCTTTTCATCAATTTGCTTTTCTTTTCATAACTCAATGTTTCATCGAGTGTCTTTCTCATTATCGTTATATTTATACAAGTAAATGTTATCTTCCTAGGCAGAATGACACAAGTGTCGTTTTCTGGACAGTAACGGCACTAGTGCCGTTCTCATTGAATTTCATTCACACAACATAACGACACTTGTACCGTTCTAGTAAACATTCAACTTGGGAGTGATGGCATAAGAACATTTAAATTGAACGCATCAAAACTGTACGGATCAAAGTTACACCGCATCAAAATTGTACGAACATTTAAATTAAAGGATCAAACTGTACAATTGCAAAATCATTATGTAGGATGTTAAACTGTACAATTGTAAAATACATTTTACTAAGTCTACGAATCAAAGTGCCATGCAAAAATTTAAATGTTAGTTATGCGACAAGTATCAATAGAATTGACATAGATTATATGATAACGAGTGGGTGACATCACAAGTTACTATCTACATTCATTAGAAAAATACAATTAGTGAGCGTAGCTCTCAAATTTTGTAAACGGCGCATCAATCTTGCACCTTAAATGGGTTCAATTTATCAAATACCGAGGCTCGGACGGTTCGTGGCCGCTCATGCTCCTGTTTATTGATAGAACGACACGCGTGACCAGTAACGACACTTGTGTCGTTGTGTTATTTTCTCCAATATTTTTGCTTCTTTTCCACCGTAATGACCTCGAGCATTGAACCACCCAACTTAAGAAAGTCAAAAATGTTAGTTATACGACAAGTATCGATAGAATTGACATAAATTATATAATAACGAGTGGGTGACATCACAAGTCACTATCTACATTCGTTAGAAAAGCATAATTAGTGATCGTAACTCAAATTTTGTAAACGGCGCGTCCATCTTGCAACTTAAATGGGTTCGATTTATCAATACTGAGGCTCGGACGGTTCGTGGCTGTTCATACTCCTGTTTATTGACAGAACGACACATGTGACCAGTAACGGCACTTGTGTCGTTCTGTTGATTTCTCCAATATTTTACCTTATTTCCATCGCAACGATCTCGAGCATTTTGTCAAACTTTCTATGTTACATACTTTAGGGAGTCCATTGAAATGTTGTTTAGTTGAAAAAATCGGATGTATGTGAAAATTTCGGAACGACACAAGTGTTGTTACTGGACATGAAAACTACACTTGTCCTTTACGTCTAAATACGAGTATAAGCAATCACATCTCATTCGTCCCATGAAAATAATAAGTGAAACTTATTTATATTGTAACATGCAAATGACACATACAATATTGAAATATATGTTCATTAACTTAATCGACACATATGAGTAAGACGACTTGTACTTTCACTATATCGATAATATAGAAGTTATGTCATTTCAATCGTTATTTGTGGCTAGTCAATCTTTTTGTATTATACATNGAGGTTGTAGATGGGAGTGAGATGAGGTTAGAGGTGGTGGAGTCCGATGGTTTGGGTGATCGAAAAGTGGTGGACTGGGGTTTCATATGCGGCTGCTGAAAACGGGTGAAAATGAAGAAGAAAGAATGAGGTGAAATGAAAGAAGTTTGGTGAATAATTTGATAGAAATTGAAGGACAACTTTGTCATTTTACCTTTAAAATATTTTAATTTTTTTTATTCTATTTCAATGTTGGTCAAATTCTCCAAAATCATTGTTTAGTAGGGTTATTTGGCCAAATTTCCAAAAGGAAAATAGGCTGTGACCGGTTTTCTTTAAAGCCTTACCTTGGGGACTAATGCTGCAATTTGCCCTAAAATTTATCGGACAGTGAACAGAGAACACTCCCCACGCGAAAACCCCTCTCCAAATTACCATTCCTACTGATCCTATCATTCTCCTTTTCATTTCTGTACTTTCTCTCTCTAGAACATCATCATATCACTGATATGGCTTCGCGGAGGCTCTTAGCCTCATTGCTCCGGTCCTCCGCCTCCCGTAGCTCTCTATCAAAAGCTTTGAACTCCGCCCCAAAACCCAAGCACCGGCCATCTCCAGTCGGCTGCTTCCTCCACCGCGTCGTAGGGTATGCCACCTCCGCCGCCGAGCCCTCCTCTTCGCCAAGCCCGCCTAAATCTCCCAGTGGAGGTCCCAGTGGGAAGATCACAGATGAGTTTACCGGGAAAGGCGCAGTCGGAAAGGTGTGCCAGGTTATCGGTGCCGTGGTTGATGTGAGGTTTGAGGAGGGATTGCCTCCGATTTTAACGGCATTGGAGGTCTTGGACAATCAGATCAGGCTTGTTTTGGAGGTAGCCCAACACTTGGGTGAGAGTGTGGTCAGGTGTATTGCTATGGATGGTACTGAAGGTCTTGTCAGAGGCCAGCGCGTGCTCAATACTGGCTCCCCCATCACCGTGAGTCGTTTTAGATTTATCTTATCAATTTGTTTATATTTTCTTAAAGACTTTCCATTCTCTTGAATTGATACTGTTTTTGGAAATGGGCTCTATCTTAATTTGATTTTTAAAAAATCGGTGCTTTTGATTAGTTTTTAGGAAAAGATGTTGGAATCTCTATGGTTTGGGCGAGATATAGGTTTGGATCTAGACTTTGATGTGGATTTAAGCCATTTTGATTTGATTTGGGATATTGATTCTTAAGAATTTGATTTATTGGTATATTGGCATTTTTGAGTTCTTTGATTAAATATTGTCAAGACTGAATTTTTATACCTGTTGTGGATGCGTTTAAGAATTTGATTTATTGGTATATTGGCATTTTTGAGTTCTGTGATTAAATATTGTCAAGACTGAATATTTATACCTGTTGTGGAGGCGTGCTGGATTTTGAGCTTTAAATTTTGTGAAGCAAAGCTTAAAATTTGGGTTATGTTACTTAAGGATGGTATTATCTATAAAGTTGCAACACTTTTCAAATGACATTTACATTTGCTTTTTGAAAGCAACGGCAGGATTATGATTGGCTTCAACATCTCTAAAATGGTTCGATTTTATTTGAGAGGGTAATCTTTATTGCTTTTGTTGAGGTCTTATGGGGGCGAGTTCTTGTCTTCATTGATTAAGGTGTTTTAAAGATACATCTGATGTCCGTTCGGTCTTCAACGTCCCGTTTGCTTTTCTTTCCAAACGGTTTGCAGACTTGATGTCGTAAGCCTCAACTCAAGTATGGCTTGACTTTATGGTCATGATAGTTGAAAATCACTCAAAATGTTCCTACTTTGATTTCTGAAGCTGTTTATTATTATGTCCTATAAGAGTTTTATTTTTTATGATGGTTATTTTGTTTCTCTTCATTTGATTAAAGGTGCCTGTGGGTAGAGCAACCCTTGGCCGCATTATGAATGTCATTGGAGAGCCTATTGATGAGAGAGGCGATATTAGTAAGTGTTGTTGCTTCTGAATGATCAAAACATCTTTATAGTGACTGAAGAAGGCTTGTGTCTTTTCTAACAAATGAATGGTGCTGCAGAAACTGATCACTATTTACCAATTCATCGTGAAGCTCCAGCCTTTCTCGAGCAAGCAATTAACAACAAAATTCTTGTCACTGGTATCAAGGTACTTTCTTGCAGGTCCAATCTGTACTTGATGGATTCCATTCGCAATCACTTTTTATTTATCATGGTATGGAGGTTCATGTCATTTTATGTTGGTCACAGTTTTCTGTGTTGATTTGTTACACAAGGTCGTCGACCTTCTTGCACCATACCAAAGAGGAAAGATTGGGTTGTTTGGTGGTGCTGGTGTAGGAGAGACTGTTCTTATCATGGAACTGATTAACAATGTTACAAAAGCTCATGGTTGGTTTTTGATATTATGCATTATTTCTTATAGAACCCTGCCTTAATTAAAGCTCTGATTTGTGCTATTGTTTGTTTTTTTTGTCAGGTGGTTTTTCTGTCTTCGCTGGTGTAGGAGAACGAACTCGAGAGGGTAATGATTTGTACAGAGAAATGATTTTCAACTGGTGTAATTTAAAGGTGTCTGAATATTCATTACTTGAAATAATTTAATGTTATTTTTACCATTGTTCAATTCTGGAATTACAAAAATTATAACGGTTATCGTGCGACGCACGATCCACACTAGTTCCTAAAAAAAAGTGACATATCATGTCACTATTTTTAACAAAAAGTGACATAAATTATCAAAGACTCATATGATAACCGTGTTATGCCTTACCACCTCAAAAAAGTGATATCACTAGTATACACTTTGAAATTCATAAAATTGTTGCATATCAATGATAACAATGAAAATTTAGTCTCTTTTTAATAGTTTTTTAACATACTAGATGTGATCAAATCTCTGTATGGATTTCATCAAATTGTTTCATATACAACTCAAAATCATTCTTCGTAAATGCTTTTATTGCTCTATTGAAATGTTTTGCAATGTTATTCACATTTTTCTTCCCCACCAAAAGATGTCTTCAAGTTTTTACCAAGCGTAGGAACATAGACTATGCGTTTATTCTTATACAGCTTGTAAATTGAATTTTTTATAATTGCATGTCCATTTGAGATTATACACAATCCTTCTTGCTTACCATAAGCTTTTTTTTAATATAATTAAGAATCACTTTCATGAATAATTAGTTTCTAAATCACAAACTCCAAATACTAATATGAAGATATATTGTGTCACCATAGTTGCCTTTTAAAAATGTAGCATCAATAAGTGCAATATTTCCATCCTTAAAGAGATACGCCTAATACCATGAAGAGGTACTTGAATTTGTTGTACGATATATCTCAATTCTTGTAACTGTTCCAGGATTTATTTGTTCTATCATGTAATTCTGGGAGCTTTTCATGTGATTTTGTATGTTCTCCTCTCACCAGTTCTAATGATTTCTCCTTAGATCTCCATGCTTTTTCATAACTCATCAACACTCCATATGTATTCCTCACATCACTTATAATTTCTATGGGAGTGTATGTTGTTTTTTGTTGAGATACACTTGTATTTGATGAATTCTCCTACTATTGAGTTTTTTGCTTGACGATGATCTCCCAAGATGGTGTTATTTGAACAAGTATAATCATTTTTTTGTATATATTTTACTTTGAACATTTCTGTTCCTCCAAGTCTTGAAGCCATAAAAGTTGATTTGTAATTATCATCTATGCAATTTAGTACATATTCCTTATTATGTGATTTACTTGTCTTGAACTGAAAGTTCTTGCATATCGTGTATGCTGAAATAATTCTCTTAACCAATGTCTATGCTTCTGAACACTTTTTCTTATGCAATTCCATCTATAGTAACAACTGAAATGATAGCACTTTCTCCACAATTCTTCATTTCTTCAACTCTTGATATATTATTATATGCATTAATAGTAATTTCTTCGATGCTGGGTAGTTTTTAAACTGATGTTGTCATCGAATTATCAGTTACAATTTTACAGTTTCACAAAACTTTAACTGCATCATATCATTTTCTTCGAATTTGATAGCCTCCAAACATTATCTTTCATCAAGAAATTCTGTTCCATGACATTTTGACACCATCATCACATCTACGCACAATGCTTGTAAGATGTTTATCCTTCTCTCAAGTTCCAAATAAAATATAAGAGAAATATCGTCTGAAATAAAGTGACAAAGAATGTTACTTTCAAGTGCTAGCAAATTAATTCATATGTAAAATACAAAGAAAGACTTATATTATGTCACTTTTTAATATAAAACAAAGTTTTAATTCATATTCGTATTCAAATTTTCACAAACACGCATGTATACATATCTTTATTTGATATAAAAAGAATTAAAATGATGTAGTCTGCGATCTTCTTAAAAAATTTGACAGAGCATGTAACTTTGAAATTATAGCAACTTGATTCATATGCAAATTGTCAAATAAAGTGAGTGTTACATTATTTCACTTTTTAATATAAAGTAAAGTTTATATTCATATTCAAATTTTCATAAGCACACACGTATACATTTGTTTAATTGATCCAAAAGAATGAAAATGAGATAGATTACGAACTTTATAAAAAAAAAAAATGATAGAGCATGTCATTTTTCTTATTTTCGTATTTTTATATGTATTTTCACTCATCACTTGAATTAAATTTGCCTATAATTGCTTTCTTTATTCTGAATAATCATAAAATATATAAGTTGTTCCTCAATAATCAAACAAAATATGAACTACTTGAATAAAAGTCGAAAATTTATAAACTTGTAGATTTGGATTGATTATTTTTACATTTGGAGAAGAAAACTTTGAATAAAAGGTAACTGAAGTAGTCCTTAATATTGTTTGGACTTGATTCGTACAAGATTTCCTCTTATGATTTCAATTTTGCTTGGTTAGGAGCATATATGTTTCGATTTTCCTGCTGAAAAATCACCTTTTTCGATTATGCTATTTATACAATATTTCTTGCGATTTTATAGTTGAAATTGCAGTATTTATTTTTTAATCCATGTTTATAATGATTTTTCAAAAGAACCTCAAAATTAAGAGTATTTCTATAAGTTCTCCATATCTTTTTATACAAGTTATTTGATGTTATAATTTTTGGTGTTTTTTGGGAGAATGCTTGGTTGAAAAAGAGGGAAAATTTTTAGGTTTATGTGTGATATTATTTTATTGAAAAATGTGTGGTTAAAAAGAAAGGAGAGAAAAATGTATTATAAATTTAATGAGGGCCAAACGGGAGCAACCATAGAATACTATCTGAAGATTTTTAAAGTGTAACCATATTGCCACTACAATTCGTTTTTATTCAACTATATTATAAATTCACCCAAATTAAAACACATTATTAATAAATATGCTACCTCAAGTTGACTGATATAACATACGCCAATTAAAAATTATAAACCAGTGTAATTCTATTGATTTATATGTACACCACAATACCACAGTAAATCTCAATGAATGTTGCATATCCAAACCTGCCCACCGCCACCACCTTCAGGGCTAGCCCCTCTCCTCCACCCATTTTGAATGTGACCAATCCATATTCCCAAGCCAATACCCAAATGAAGTGATAAAAACTTCAATTGAGTGACCTTCATTACTAAAAATTCCAATTAAAATTAAAAGTAAAATTCGAAAAAAGACTAGCAAATAATGGACTCAAATAGAAGAATTAAATAGACATACAGGACTAAAATTGTCATTAAATGATAGAAACTGCATAACAAATATGTATTTTTTTAGTTTCATTACTAAAATGCGCAAAGATGAGAACAAGATGATATCTTCACATCCAAATCCTTCACACCAGAGGCTAAGGATGTAGTTGTAGTTATTACAGTTCCTATCTAAAATTTTCAGCCAATGAGATACAGTAATACACATGATTGATGTGTTGTCAGATGGTCATTTTGTCTTTGATTTTTCTTCTATTTTTTCATATTCGGTTCCGAAACAGTTTCACAAAGCAAACGTAGACACTACTTCATGTGTATTTGTAACATTACCTCGATTGTTAAAATCGAAAGTTTATTTTACTTCGAATAGTTGAAGGTTGCTCAGTTGTACAAACAAATTGTAGCTCCAAGTCGTGGTGGAAAAGAAAATTATCAGTTGGGCCTCGTATGACCCAACTCATAATTGGAGAGAATAGAAACTGGCCCAAATCACATTTTTATTGTTCAATCTTTTTTATCTCAAACATATTGAGACCTAAAAATAAAATTATGAATACTTCTACAAAATGAAAGGAAATAAAATAAGAAATTACACGAGAACTAAGACATAAAAGAAACTCTATGTTTTCTTTTAGGATGAACACAAGTTCTTATAATGTACGTATATGTATGCTTCCAATCCAATGTTGGAATTTTGTTTTGAAAGATTGAAATTTGGTTAAGTGATTATACCAAAACTTGAAAAAAGTGACTTTCGTGTCAATTTCGGTCAAATATTCGGACTTGATCCGATGCTCAAATTAAAAAAGTAAATAGATCAACTGTTCTACTCGTCGAGTAGATCGTCGTGGTATATTTGGAATCTCAAAATCAATTCCGGATGAAAGAGAAATTGTGGTCCAAAGTTTGGAAGAAAATAGAGGAAACTATTCGGAAAATTGACTAAGACTGTTGCTAGCTTATGGTTGGGCTGTCACTCGAGCGACGGGCTAGCAAAAAAGTCACTATTTTTATTGCTCAAGCAAGGCGATGACGATGGGCTAGCGATAGTGAATGGTGCGACCTTTGGCAAGAGTTGTTGAACTTGGGGCGCGACATTTCATTCACAACCCTTTATCCTCTATATATAGGACCCGTTGGACGTCCCTTTTGCATCCCGTACCATATGTGCATTGTGCATTCATAAAATATCTTACAAAAACTCTCCCAAATTCATTCAAAAATCGCTTTCCTTGTAGAGAGGGAATTTTGTCATGTTCGTCGTTGTCTTGTGGTTTGAAGTGCTGCTACCACAAGAATTGAATTCATTGTATCTTGGGAGACAAGTGCCGACAACCGTGAGCATCGTAGCAGGGTAATATTATCTTAGGAGAAAGTGTCATCACTTGCCTCGGATTATCATTTCCTACTTTTTAATTTTTTTTTTCTTTCATTTATAGTTATAATACTACAATTTTTCCGACCTCTTAAACTTTGTGTTTTAACTACGTTTCTGCGGGTTAAAACTTTGTTCATTTGATAACATAAACAGCACTTTCTAACTATCATATACAGCCTGGAACAACAATCTTAAGACTATTATGTCTGTGGTTGTTCGTTGTTTTCAAACCCCTTTTTGTCATCTTTGGAATAGTCTTTGTGTACTATTCTTTCCCCTTTTATTATTGCTACATTAATCTTCTATTTAAGTAACAGAAATTAGTATTGTAGAGGCTACCTCGAGTCAACATG